CCTCCCCCTCCGGACCTCCAGCCGTTGGCCGGGCTCCAGCTGCCTTCGCGCATGGAGGTTGGGGCTCCTCCGCTCCCGTTTGGCAGGAGCAAGGGATAGCGCTTCGCTACCTCCCAAGAAAGTTGTGAGGATAAATGCAGTGAAAGGGTGAGGTGTCCAGACAGGCGGCTGGAAACGGGGATACCTGGAGGAGAGACGAGCGTTCGCTCTTCATTAGGAGCGAGGGCTTAGCGCTGATTTTGCTACCTCCTTCATAAACTCGTGTGCTGGGACGTGCCCCGTCCCCCTCCATCCCCTCCGACAGCCAGACCCTGGGTCGCATCGTGGCGGCAGGCGCTCGGCACCCTCCTCCTGCCCTCCCCTCTGTTCTTGCCCCCCGGCTCGGCAGCCCGGGCGCTGCCAATACTTGCAGCGTTCACCTCGGCAATTACCACCAGTCTGGTCTTTTGTATCGCCTCATTGTGCTTAATTATGCACCCCCCACACACACCATATGAGTGCTTCCACCCACTCTCACATTCTGTCTCACACATACATTCATTCTCTCATTCGGGACACATAATTTATTCATCCCAAGATGCAACTGTGTGCGTGTTATATTTAGGCTGTTTTAATGGTAGCTTTAGAAATATTTAAAAGCAGGTGAGCTTTTACACCCAAACAAAGATGGCCGGCAACGCTTACCCTAATTAAAAGCAGAAGCGTTGTGGAAAATCCCAGCCGTACTCTTTCTAGACACAGTGCCTTATGCTACAGTGGGAAAAAGGTCTCTCTGGCCAGCTGGGCACTGCTCAGTTGGAAAAGTTGGCCCTGACCTTGGGGGCCACCCCACCTCCCGTGCCAGGCGATGCACACCCCGCTGCGTGGCAAACCGGAGACAAAGTAAATTTGGGGTCTTGCAGCCCCCGCCGGCTTGTGAGGACACCGCAGAGTGCAGCATCCGCCCTCTGATGCCCTCCCTCAAATAACATCTTTTGAAAGCAGGGAGGAGATCATAGGAAACTCCGATGTAGCTGTTTGTGGTCTGGGAGGCAGAAAAGCTTTGGGGCGCTTCTCTGTGGCATGGAGTGAGCACGCCGCCCCAACACGGTCTGCCAGCTCCTGCCAGCTCCTGCCAGCGTCACGGCCAGCAAAAAGGTGGAAAGTAATGTCCCAGGCTGCAGTCTGCAAAGCTGGGAGAAGCACACTGGGGCCAGGACTGTGGGCAGGGGGCAAAATTAGGGTCCTTTTGGTGCTTTCTTGTGGCCGCCTTGGTGCAGGAGCCTGCCAGCCTCGCCATGCCATCGTGCCCCCGCTGCCAGGGGAGCCCCCACGGTCCCCGGGATGCGGCTCCCGACAGGAGAGACACGCGCTGCCTTCGGAGACACGTGGCATCGGGCGGAGAACGAGGCCTCCGAAGAAAATAACGATGTCTACTTACGAACCCCATCTTCCCCCGCTCGCTGAAGTAGAAGAGGGAGAAGCACAACTCCCACACTATCATCTGTTGCTATTAGAGCTTTAGCAGCAGTAAAGTTACCTCTCCAAAACAACAACAAAAATACTGCCCTTGCCTATTCTTTTAGACAGGAAACGTAGTTTTTATCACCCTTTTTCCCCCACTCAGCATTATGTTGTCCCAAGTCTTAATTGGAGAAGTTCTTATGGGTGTTTAAAGAAAAATCAAAGACCTGAAAATGTACTGATGGTGTAAACTCTCTTCTTGTTCCTTTTACAGGTGAAGGCCGCTTCCAAATACGTGGATGTACCCGTAAGCACAATTTAAACAACTTCTGTCATAGTAATTTGCATCGTGCTTTGGTTTATGGCATGTGTAGCAACCCACGTTATGCATTAACAGCCAAGATTGAACCATGGGCCTTCACACTTCTAACATTTGAACTGGAAAGAATATCTCCATGATGTTAATAATGAGCAGTTACCCTCTTATGGAGACTTACAAGGCTGTTTAGGCAATAATTTGCAGATGGTGTCAAAAAGGTACCATATTTATGCAATTGGCTTGTATCACATTTAAAAAAAAATTGGGAGCAGTGCATTCTGTTAATTCTTCATTTGGACTTGTACAAATACAGTATAATTTCCAAACAAAAAGGTCCAGACATGTTAGAACTGAGCCAACACACATCTAACACATTAGCTAATCTATTTTATTTTTGTTCTTCTAATTGTTGGTTTATTTTACTCTTTCGGAAAATGACTTTTTTATTACTTTGGGGAAATGGTGATGAGCTAGCAACATGTGTTTGGGAAATTGTTAATGAAAATAATTTTTTCCATTTTTCTGTAATTGGTATAGGAAAACTGTACATCGTCTCCTCTAATTAGACCTTGATTCATAAGGAAAAGAGCCCTTAACGTTCTTAGACAGAGCACTTAACTTGCCAGAAATTTACATTTAAATTGAGTTGAAGTGTAATATATGAATGTTGGCTGGAATAAGGGGTTACTGTAACATTTACAGGCAGAAAGATCCTGAGCAATTTCAAATGAAAAAAAGGTAGATCTCCACACCAGTTCCTGCATCCAGTTAGACTGGGCAGTGTAAATCAAGAATAACTCAATTGAGTTTGATGACCTGTATGTATAATGTATATATGTACATTTAATGTGGATGCGATTGCTCTGCATGCTGTTACATGACAACATGATAAATTTATCAGACATCTTGGACCACATCATCTGTGTTCAGTGTTTCTATCCCGTTAGCCCAAAAGAAACATTTCCTACCAAATTGCTGTACCTTTAGCCCAGCGTGAGGAAGAGAAACTCTTGAACAGTAAGAGATCTTGCTTGGTTTAAAATATCCCAGTGCAGAGATCGGCATCCTGTTCTCTTAAAGTAATAGAAAAAAGATACTGAGAGCATTAGAAAGAGAGACTCAGAATTCATTTCTAGCCCTAGAAAATGTGGAGATCCGTCAGTTAAAGCTCCTCGTTGTTCAAGTGCATCTTAAATATGTAGTCATCAGGAATTTGAGCACAGGATATTTATTTTAAGTAACTTTTAGGGTAAAGCATGGCCTTCTCTGAGGCCTCTACGTTCCTGGAAAGTAAAGCATCTCTAGGGAAGCAGCCTAGGTAAAATGCTATATAACCTCTTCAAGCTTTTCCAAAAGCATTTTCTCATTGTACCTGGGCGACCCTTGGGAGGTCCTCAGCATTGCGGCCATGCGGGAGGAGCAGGGTCTGCTCCCATCCTCAGGCGGTCTGGTTCTTGCATAAAATAGAGCAGAAGTACTCATCTGGGTTATTTTGTGGTTGTTTCCTCACCTCCCCCTGGAAATGAAGCCACATTACAACAGCTTTTCTTGACCGCCCCAAAATTTTTGATGAAATCAACCACCAGCCCCACAGAGCTCCCAGACCTTTGCGGGAGGATGCCCCATGGTCTGTGAGCCACTGCCTTTCTGGGGGAAGGAGGAAGAAAAACCTTTTTTGTTAGAGGCTCCTCTTTTAGAGGATGGAGGGAAAATCCTGGTGTTGAACAGAAAACCATTGGTTAAATCTAATTCCGCAAACGCCATTGCAATTGTTTGGGTACAAACCAATCCATTTAATGCCACCTTGAAATGGGCACAATCGGTGTGCTGAAAATTGCTTGAAAGTGTAACACTTGACTACTGCCACATTTGTGTTGTCCTCATTGTTTTTCAAATTAATACCTTGTCATTGTTGCAGTAGGTGTTAAGAAATGTTACTGGCTTCCCAAGGGCCAAGCACTGGCCCTTTGCTTGATAATTGTTTGCTTTGTGTTAAAAAACTCCCTTCCTACTGCTTTCCAAACTGTCCTCATTTTCACCCTGGAAATTACACAGATGTGTTAACTAACTTCAATTTGCAGCGGCTGACAATCGTATCTTGCAAAGAAATGATACTCTCTGATCTGAGGTAAATCACAGTAATAGAAACTAATGACACTAGTTATTACAAACTTACAATGTGCCATGGAAATTTAAGATTTTGTGGCAGCTCTTGTAATGACTCATGTTACAGTATTTTAATGGATTTCCTTTGAGGTAAGTTTGATTCCAATATATCAAGCAATGTGAACGCAAACAGGATTTATTTTTTTTTAAGTATTTTCCTTTCCACCTGCCTCAATTCCCATTTTTGATAAAGAAATACTGTTACCCTAAAATCTTGCATGCTTGTAGGTTGCTGTTTAAACTCAGTTAAATTCTGCAGAGAGCTGTAGAGATGTGACAGCACAGGGAGGCTTTCTGCAGTTTAGCAGCGGCTTAAACATTCCTGTAGACATACATTCCCTGACTTACCACTTACCCAATTTATTCTTAAGAGCAGCACTACATGTGAGCTAAAGTCAGGGGTCTACACAGAAAAAGAAAGGTGATTTTGGCATGCCTTCTGCAACGCCAGCTGCTTACTGCACACATCCTCACACCGTAGAAGAAGACCCAAGAGCCCAGCTCTGGCTGTTAGCTTTCTCCCTTCAGAAACCAGAGAGCTTGCATAGAGAAGATCACCCAAGAAAGCCACAAGTCCCCAGCCCGGCTCGCTGGTTCACTCATTAGGTCAACAGCACCAAAGGTAGCAAGACAACTTCCCGGCATCGGTATGTGGAGGAAGAGCTTTATTCCTCCGACCAGCTTCGCTCTAGGCCAAAGAAGAGAAAGAGCAAGCGTCTTTGCATGGTCTTCTGCTGCACACAGTGTTTTGCTGGGTGCGGGGCACAAAGCAGCGGGACTCGGTGTCCGACAGGTAAGGAAAGCGCAAACTGCAGGAGGACAGCAGGAGATGGAGGAGAAGGAGAAGCAGCGATGAGGCTACACAGAGGAGCTGCCCCCGGCGCAACTATTCACGTTTCTCTCTCTCTTTCTCTCTCTCTTCTTCTCTCCCCCATGCAGAAGCCGGGGATGGATGTTGCTGATGCCTATGTGACATTTGTCCGCCACTCTCAGGATGTCCTGCGTGATAAGGTCAATGAGGAGATGTATATAGAAAGGTTATTTGATGTAAGTAAATGCCTTCTCCTCCTTGGACACCAAGCAGGAGAGACCCAAAATGTGACAAAATAAGACAGGAGGATAAGTCACATTTTGAGAAAATTTATTGGTTATAGCTTTAAAAAATAAATAAATCTTTCCTTTCTTTCTGACTAAGGCTCGTATCTGCTCTCTGCCTGCTTTAAATCTCTACTCCAGTCTACTGTGTCTTGGTCTGTCTGTGTGTGGATTTTAAGGGAACAGCATCTTCTCAGAGAGCCCTTTACTATGTTTAAGCTTGTGGAAAATCTCTCTGTAACAGAACATCTCGGTCATTGTTCTCACTGTTAAAATTTGAGCCGGGTTTTTGGCAGATGCATTTGCTAAGGGCTATCTCTTCTGCACATTTTGCAGTGTGTCTCATTGACAAGCACTCCAAAACTGACAGCAAATTAAGTGTACTAAATTTTAATTTTAAAAACTAACCAAGACAGAGCTGATTAGGAATGGGCTTTGGTATTTCGGGAGGACCACCTTGTGGTGTCTGACACCAAAGGTAAGGTTGAGACATGGTCTCCTTGATGAAGGTGGCATGGTAGGAACTGACCCAGATGTTCAGAGCTATTTTTCTGTTGCACAAGATAAATTCATTGGACTGTAAGAGAACAGTGACCTGTGATGCCCGTTTGTTTTGGATTTGGATGCATGTTAACCGGTATCTCTGTTTCTGTTGCTCTTGTTGCGTTACAGCCTTTCTGTCCTTGTAGCTGTTCTATAGCGAAGGTTTTCTGTTGACAGCCAGCCTGTAGTATTAGTGTTTCAGTCTCCTTTAGGGTATTTGTCTATATATCGATTTCTGTTTGAAGCAGCTTCTGTTCCTACTTTCCTTCCTTTCATCTCTCAGCAGTGCCATTTCTCAGTCTCCCAGCTCTGGAACTGTAACAACCTTCCTCGCTTTCTTTACTTGCTCGTTTGCTTCCTCAGTGTGCAGGGAAAGCTGCTTTTTTTCCCAACCAACCTCCTCCTTCACTCGATACCTCTCTTTCTGCGCATTACCTGTCCCTTAGAAACCTCTTCCTCCTTTACAATTCCCACTCTTTCTTTCCCCCGTACCTTATCGGATTAAAATGGAACTTATCTCTCATGTCAAATGTTTTATCACATTATATCAAGTGGCATGAATTAGAGTCAAATAATCTTACTGTGTACATCTACTAGCATGACCCATATCCACTGAGAATGCCTCATTCATGCACGGAGCACAGCAGTGCCTCCTCCGGGCGCCGCGCGTGCTCGCTCCGGGGAGAGTTTGCAGCGCAGAGCACCAGACGCAAATCACCCATCAAGCAGGCATGGGGAGAAAAAACAAAACATAAAACAAAAGACTGTCACTTCCATCTGCAGCGGGCCTGCGAGTGCATTGCTCGTTTGTGTTGAAATTTATTCCACGAGCAGTTAAATTTCCAGAGCTCATCTGGACTGTTCTTTTCAATGCCCACACTGCCTTTTCCCTCATCCTTTCCCTATGATTCACAGTTGGTGTGTTCGTACCCTTTGGGCCATTTTTTCCAATTTTCAAAAGGCTGTAATTAGCACAAATGCTGATTTCTGTTTGATCTGCTGGTACTTAGTTTTACCAAGCCACATTTTAAACAAATTAACAATTGACATTAAAAAAAAAAAAAGAGCAACTACCTTGGGGAAAGCAAAAAGTGCAAAAACTTTCTTTTCCTCCCTGCTTTCCTCGAATCTCCCTCGTCCATGTGCAATAAAACAATTGAGAGTAGGGTTTTTACGTTGCTCCGCCTGTTTTGACCCACGCTGGCTGCAGGCGGGAGCCGCAGCGTGTGGGAGCTGTTCCCGTTCCCGTTCCCGTTCCCATTCCCCGTGCCAGCAGAGCAGCATTGGGACCCAATGCCGCCGGCACCTTCGCACATGTCTCATGTCCGTGAGCGCGCGCCCGTGATGGGGGGTGAGTTGCGGGGCGCTTGGTTTGCAAGGAAGGTTGGGGATGTGCCGAGCCCTAGCCCCCCAAAAATTGGAATTACGTTTTGAGCGGTCATGCATTGTCTTCGCCAGGCTGCAGCTGAAGCAGCGCATTGCCCCGAGGCCAGCTCTCGGCACGGCTGCGGTGCTGCTGGCGGGTCAGTAGCAGCGGGGTTTATGAGTACATGGGGGTCACCGGGGCCCAGACCCTGTTTAAATCGGTGCTGTGTTCACCTACGTTTTGGTACAAATGGGAGCAAACGCTCAACGCTGTTGTCCTGAGCTTGATCTCAGCCACGGTCCTACAGCCCTCCCTCACCTGACGCAGCAAAGGAGCGCGACCACGGGGTCTTTAAGCTCCGTTGGTATCTGCACCGATGGTTGTATTTTCCAAGGTCATTTTAGGTGCTGGCTACCTTTTTAACAAGAAAGAGAAGAGGAATAATCAAAAATGGTATTTATGATGCTGAATTAGACTTGGGCCTGGTTTTGTTCTCGCTTCCCCCAGCACAGCAGAGGAGCAATCCTCTTAGCTGCGGAGTTTCTCCAGACAATGAGATTATTAACACTTTCGAGGCCAGCTCCTCCGCTGGCTTAGTGCAGCGATGCTGGCTCACCCCAGCCGAAAGCTTAGTCCGGTTTTAGGCTGTTATATGTTAATACATGCAGCGATGGCAGGTAAACAGCTTAAATCTGCCTGCAGGCAGTTCCTCTGCTCGCAGCGGGGTCACGTTAGAGGCACTCGCAATATAGGGCTAAATGCCCTTTCTGCGCAGTCGTGAGTAGCGCGAGAGCAGAGGTACGCCGTGCGAGGTTGCCTATCGCACATTCAGTGGGGTTTGCAGCTCCCGGGACATTCCTAATCCCCGCACTTCTCCGCAGTCCTGCCCAGCATTTCCATTCATTTCCCCTCTTTGTTTCCTCGCAGGAGCAGAGGGTGCAGAGTGTATTAGGCCGTCTCCCAACAGAAGCGGGGTTAATGCATCTTTTTTTGGCATTTGCCATGATTTCTTAGCTCAGAAACCATCTCTCTCCCTCTGCATCGTGTGCCCTGCTCGCAGGGCTGTGCTCTTTGGGAGATCCTGGTGTTTGCAGAAGATTACTGTAATATTTCTGTGTGGTCTGTGTGTTAATCCTCTTAATTCTGCAAATTAGTCAGGGTTTCCCCCCCTCCTCCCCGAAATAGACTCATCTTAATTTTAAAAATCTGTATTCTTGGGATCATTGAACGAACAGATTGATTGTGGAGTTCTGCTGGTAATCAAAACCTAACTAGCTTTTTGGCAGTGCTGTTTACTGCAGAGTAACATGACTTATTTACTTGGCCTGGCTCACTAATTTGATAACATTTAAAGCTAAAACACTGTAATAAGGCCCGTTGGTAGAGAGCAGTAGTTACAGAAGAGTTTCAGAATAGTATCGTAGCGTCCGCTTCCTGTGCACGGCTGAGCGCTTTGGGATTTAAACCGCTGTGAAACTTTGCATGCAACGCAGAGAGATCGCAAATTCTGTGTAGTGCCTGATAGAAAGTAAAATTTTATCACTTTTTCCATAGAAGGGGGGCAGAATTGACATGCTGATTGTGGTTGTTTATAGGAACGGTGAGGCAGAGGCAGGCAGGTGTAGCTTAAACATGGGAAAATATCTTCAGAGTCATCTTGAGTCTTCAGACCAGTCCTGCAAAATTCAGGTCCCCTTTGGCTTGGGACACTCAGAATTTCATAGGGTCAGAGTTTATACGTCCGTAATTTTGTCTGAAGGCGGCAGGAGTTTTAGTTGTAAGGGTTGTGCCCTTTGGTGGAAGTTATTTACACACACCCATAGATACTGGCAGTATAGGTTTCAAACCGTCAGAACATATGTGATCCAGAAAGTCTGTGATTGACTAGTAGATAGTGTGAATGCCAACCTTTCTTCCTCATAAATTGGTAAACACTAATGTAAGACATAGAGAGAATATTTCCTCCCCAGCCACAGGCGAGTAGCACGTACACAAAAGGCTACTGAACGTCAAGTGAGCTCCCCGAGATCCTGCGAATTCCAGCATCCTGATGCAGTCCCTAAATAGCGCAGATGGCATTTTTCTCTCTGATGATTAATTCAATATCTTACCGAAAAAAACAAAAACATGCTTTTGATATGAGAGATCAAAACACCAAGAGAAGCTCCTAAGATTGCAAGGACCTAAAAAAAAAAATTAATTTATTTTTTTCCTCCTTGTACTTCTTGAAGACACCAGCCTGAGTAGAAGATAAGGATTAAACCAGATGTGCTTAGTGCTAGTTCATCTGCTTAAATCTAGCAGTCTCTGAGATCAGTGATTAAAAAGCCATCTCTAACTTTGATGAAATCCGCCGCAATGGTAATACTGTGTCTCTGATCGCTTTCTTATGGGCCTCATGTCTGCCTAAACCGGACATAGAAAACATTTCACTGGAGATGATACATGGATTATATGGGTCAATTATACACTTAATCTGCCTTCTGGGGATTAAATGTGCATAGATTGACCCTGCGTATTTGGCTTGTCCTTGGCAGTTATCAGATCAGGAAGGTTGCCTTTACCAAAAAGTCTGGTAAGAACTTAATCACGCAGTGATACAGGCTGCCGAGGTGGCGGCAGTCGCCGTGCTCGGTGCAGAAGGCAGTTTTACCACTTCACTGTCACGGTGTACGTTCGGCTTCCTCAAAGGTCCGTGTCAAAGCCGGGATACCAGACGGAGTATTTTCTCCTGAAACAAGAAAGCGAGCCCATTCGTCTCTGCAAGACAGAGGCGGGTTTTTGTGGGGTTTTTTTTATCTTGACGGCAGAGTAGGATCAGCAGTGTCCGGGCGGGCGATGGGGGAGACTGAGGTTTTGCTCTGCCCTGTGCAGAGGGACAGTCACCCCATGTCCTCTCTCAGCAGCGCAGGAGAAGCCACAGCTCGACTGTTAGAGGAGCCAGCATCTCCTTCCCACCGCCCTCGGGCCGGCACAAGCCCTCGGGTGGGGATCTAGCGCCAGGTCCTGTCCCTCTGGCCCAGCTCAGCTGGGTTTTTAGGAA